GTTTCTTACTTCTGATTCCTTTTCCGTCACCGGATTTGTAGTTACTTCGACGAACTAGGGCCTTTGGTTTTAATTTTGGCTTTTCCGTAAGTGCTCCCCTGTACCTACGATGTCGACGAAGAAACAGGGAAGTGGGAAGACAAATGCGCGAGCTACAAGGTCGTCACCTCGGTTTGCAGTTCTGGACGGAATTGATGACGATGAATTTCCATCCTTGAGCTCCGTACAGGTGACTGGGTCTGCGAAAACAGTTGTTAACAGTGCTGATAAACATGTGGAGGTTTCCAATCCTGGGAAACCTGCTGCGGATAAGGCAAAGGAACCAGTAATTCAGGCTGCTGGGAAATCCATACCTGCTGGGAATGCTGTGGAGACTTCTAATCCTGGGAAACTTGCTGCAAAACCTGTGGTAAGTTCACCTGCTGCTGCGGCTTTGACTGAGGGAGCGCATACTGGAAGCACGAATGCAAATACTGCTACAGCCAGCCCAACTATTTTGCCTGCTGCAGAAGGTGGAACTCTTGATGTTGCAGCTGAAACTGCTGGGCAGACTGTCAATGGGCATGGCAAACACGTTCCAACTGTCTTGCCATTTGCAGGAGCTGCTGCTACTCCTGGACTGAAGCCAACTGCTGCTTGGAAAATGGCCACTTACCCTGCGCCAAACGATGAAACTTCTGCTTCCAAACCTGCTGGTACTAACCCAAAAGGCCTTATTCCTGCGCAGGGAGCTACTGTTGCTGCACTGAGGCAGCATAAACCTTGGTCTGCACTTTTCAAAGACAACCGAGACCCCTCAAATGGTCTCAAATTGAGGTATATCCCGCCAAAAGGCAACTCTCTAGATTTTGTTGATAGGAAACTCCCCTCCATGGTTGAGATGTGGGGTTTTTGCCTAGTTGGAATGTTCACCGGAAAACACCCCGGGCTTAAGGCTATATATGACCTGAAGAACACATGGGGGGTGAGTTGCATTATTAAAACCCATCATAGGGGGTGGGTTATTTTTAAATTTCATACTGAAGAAGATAGAGAAAACGTGTTGAAAGGGGGGCCTTATACCATTTTTGGCATACAACTCATGCTGAAAACACTCTCCGAAGATTTTTCTTTTGATGATGATGAGTTCCTTAAGGTTCCGATTTGGGTAAAATTTCCAAATTTACATATGAAACTTTGGAATGAAGATGCGATGAGTGAGGTTGCTTCCATGGTTGGGGTTCCATTATCTACGGATAAAGTAACTCAGGATAGGAGCAATCATTCCTATGCTAGGGTGCTGATTGAGGTTGATGTTTCCAAACCACCGCCGCTATCTTTTCCTATTCGACTACCTTCCCGCAAAGTAGTCAAGCAATATGTGGTTTATGAGACCTTTCCTAACTACTGTTTCCAATGCAAAGAATATGGGCACCACCCATTTATTTGCAAGGTTTTAAAGGAACCTGCTGCTGCTGTTTTTAAGGAACCTGCTCCTGCTGCGCCTGAAACTGTTGCACCGGAACCTGCTGGTGCAATTCAGCCGGAACCTGCTGCTGCAATTCAGCCGGAACCAGCTGGTGCAATTGAGCCGGAACATGCTACAATTGAGCCGGGAGTTGGTGCCACAGATTTGCACACTGATCAGGGAGATGCAAGGTCAGAGCCGACTGCCCAAGGGTCTTCCAAAGGTGATGATAAGAATGTATCGGCTTCCATGACTGAATCAGAGGGGGAAGAGGACACAGAAGACGAGGAATCGGATGATGAGCCAAGGGATGAAGAGGAACAGAAAATTCTTGATGACCACTGGGAAAGAATTACACAATATAGGAAGAAGAAGAAAAAGATGGAAGCTGAGCCTGTTCAAATAGGTTTAGGTTAATTTGATACAGATCCCACTGGTGGGTATTTCTTATGGTTGTTTTTATTACTCTGATTTGGTGGACATGGGGGATGCCCCATTAGATGCATTATGTTTAGGTTAGATTTATCTAACTTAGATAGCCTTTGTTGATTTCGTGTGATACATTGTATAATGTTATTTTTGGGTGGCTTTTATATATACTTACATTTCATCCAAAAAAATTTAAAGAAAATCGGAAAATCATATACTCTGAATGTATATGATTGAAGATAAAATATGACCCGCATTTAATGCCAAAATTATACTGGGGTCCTAAGCAATGTACGTCCACATGGGACTATCTCCTGAAGTGAAGTTTGAGCGGCTGAATAATGCAAAACAAGGAAATCACCGGGAAATCAGCTCCAGCACAAGAAGACAACTATGCAAGTCGTCCTTGTCAATTTTCAACGAACAAGATCAATCCATCCTAACCAACGGATGAGATTAATCAACTGGAGTAGCCTATAAATATAGGCTGAAACGAAAGTTTCAAACCAAGCTTTGAGCATCCAAAGAGAAAAATATTTTCACGAGCATTCACGAGCTATCTAGCAAAAGAGAAAGTGCTATTCTAAACTTTACTCTCTGCTTGGACTCATGCTTCACTAAACTTCCAATTTACAAGCCATTCATTGATAAATCATAGAAGTTTAGTTCTCAGTTCGAGATTAAAACTTTCTTGTAACACTTCACATATTGTTGTAAACACTTAGGAGAACAGTTGTTCAGATCCTAAAGTGTGAGTAGATAGATAGAGTACCTTTTGATCCCCACTGGTTCATTAGAGAAAAGTCTAAGGATTGAGTAACTTTGAGTGGTGCTATACTCATCGTGAAAAACCTTCAATCTAGGCCTAAGTGTTGTAAAGGCTAGATTGGCACTAAGTGTATTGGGCTTAATACTTTAGTGAAATCCATCTGAAAGATGGTGGGACTGGACGTAGGAGGATTACACCACCTCTGAACCAGGATATACTGTGTGTTGATTTACTTTCATTCAACAAAGCACACACTTAGCACCTCTTATAAAAAGATTGAAGTTTGCCAGCAGAATCCTAAGCAGTTGTCTTAACTGACTCAACTGCTTATCCTACTCCTTAATTACTTACTTTCTTTAAGATCATCTTCACACAAGATAAGTGCACCAATATCACCAAAAGGCCTATTCTAATATTCCCAGAAACTCATAGCAGGTGCCTCAGCAGTCCCCTGGAATCCACTCAACTGCTGAGCCCTCTGCTCATATATACTTGCTTCTTGTCAACATCTCAACAATCACCAGATTTTCACTACATCATCAAGAAGTTTGCTTAAATCAATAAGCTTTTAACCCAAGCAGGTGACTCAGCAGTTCCCTCACACTCACCCAACTGCCGAGACCACTGCTTCAGTAAAAAGCTATAGTTTCTCTTCACTTAAGCATACTTACTAAAAGCCTTACCATACTCATCAATAAACTATCCTTACCATCATCATATACTCTGCATTTCCTGAGCAGTTGCCTCAGCAGTTCCCTACTACTTAGCCACCTGCTAAGACAACTGCTAGCCTTCTAAGCCAAATACTCTCCAAGTTAGAAAGTGGCTAACTTGGATGTATGCATTAACAATCCAAGTTTAAACTACCTTTGAAGGAACCGAATTAATAACAAGTGTATTAACCGATTGATTCTAGTAATATTTAATAGATGAAGCAAAACTAGTTGATCTTTAAAGTAATGCTCAAAATATTAATATGGAATATGAATAGGAAGTAATTAATATTCAAGGAAAAAGGTTAAAGAAAATAACTCACAACTTACAAATCATTAAGCTTCAAAGTAGCAAAACCAAGATGGAAGAGTTTAGCTCCTCATTTGGAGACTAAACATGAAGAAAATATAAAGAAAGAACTATTCTAGACTGAGCTTAGAAGTATATAGGAAATTGGATATCTAATTGTGAAGGAAAGGGGGTGTATTTATAGGCTCTTGGGATGCAGCTCGGGTACCCGATCGGGTATATACACGGTACCCGATTGGGTATGTGTAAAATGCCAGATTCGAGGTATACTCGATCGATTATAGGCTATATTCTATAGGTATACCCGATCAGGTGTGCTTTTATACCCGATCGAGTATGTGTAGAAAATGGTATTCGGGCTATACTCGACCGGATTTGGTGTTAAACTCAAAGGCATACCCGATCGGGTATGTCGGTCTACCTGATCGGGTATAGACACTCGATCGTGGTCAAAATCTTCCATGCATGTTCCTTTGTCTTCGGATCCGATCCAATTTGAAGTTTCAACAAAATACCCGATCGAGTATAGATGATACCCGACTGGGTATAGACCAAAAATTCAGGATTCTATTTTCTCTTGAGATTATGCACCTTTCTTCCACTTTTGGGGTTCACCAACTGTCCTTTGAGTGATCAAGACCTGTCTGAGCTCAGAATGAACCTAATCTAAACAATTTACAAGAATTTAACAAACTAAACTATTACACTAAAAGTGTGTAATTTCCAAAGTAAAAATCAATCAAAACTAATTAAAAATACAAACATACACATGGAAATTACATGATTATCATGTACCGAACATGTAAATTGAGGAAGATATAAAATAAAACAACAGTTTGGTTTTCATCGCTACTCATCTCACCGTCTCACCATTTCACTTCCATCGCCATTGCCGCCACTATAGGTCTGCACTGCCACTATTTTCTTCTCTTTCTGTCTCGATTCTTGTGATGAATCAGAAAGCCACTGCAGTTGGATCGATTTGAGATTGCGAATTAGTGCGGCGGCGCTCCCCGTCGGTGCTGTGGTGGTATCTTGTGGTGCGAGGGTTGGGGAGGGGCTGCGAGAATGCGAAAGGCTTCTGTGGTGGATGGGGCAACGATGGTCCCTTTTTCTTTTCCGCAAGTTTTTTTAAGGACCGGGCACACCATCCTCATGGTGTGCCGGTCGTAGGGTATAAATTGCGCTATATAGCTGATCGTAATATTCATTTGGGGCCTATTAATGTGTTTTTGCAGGTGGTCCATCTTCCTAAATGTGTTAGAACTGCTTATTATGCTGATCCTTTTGAAAACCCTTACATTAGATTTTAATTTGTATTCTTGTATTTTGCAGTTCAGGAATTCTTTTTGGGCTTACCTATTCCTAAGGGAATGTCAAGTGCTATGCTGGTGCTTATTCCTAAGAAAGATAATCCTAATACCTTTTCTGACTTCAGACCTATCTGTCTGTCTAATTTTCTGAGCAAAGTGTGCACTAAAGTCTTGGTTACAAGGCTTGACAGTATACTCCCCAAAATCATATCCAAAGAACATGCTGGTTTTATGAAGCAAAGAGACATCGCTGATCAGGTTCTTATTGCTCAAGAGATGATTCATAGTATAGATAAAAAAGTGAGGGGTTCCAATTTGGTGGTGAAGTTAGATATGGCCAAGGCTTTTGATAAATTATCTTGGCAGTTTTTATCTAATGTTCTTTTGAAGTTTGGTTTTTCTGCTATGTTTGTCAAGCCGATTCTGAATAATCTTCAAGCTGCCAGACTTTCTGTTTTGATTAATGGATCTCCTTATGGTTTCTTTAAACCGAGTAGAGGGGTTAAACAAGGGGACCCTTTATCCCCTTTTTTATTCATTATAGCTTCTGAGGCCTTCTCAAGGGGTATTATACAGCTGGTGGAGCAAAGGAAAATCAAGCCTTACTAGTTGGGAACATCTGGCTTTCCTATTTCACATCTAGGGTTTGCTGATGACCTTTTAGTTTTCCTTAATGGAGATTCAAGATCTATATTGAATTTCAAAAAATTCATGCAGGATTATCAAAACAGTTCTGGGCAGACTGTAAATTTGGACAAAAGCATGTTTTTATGTGGGAAAACTACCTTAAGGAGAATTAATCAGATTAAGGATCTCTTGGGCATGAAATATATAAAGCTTCAACATGGTATCAAAAAAAATTTGAAAAAAAGCTTACAACATGGTATCAAAAAAAATTATCCCAAGGAGGTAGACTGATCTTGATCAAACATGTTTTAAACTCCATCCCCTTACATGTATTAGTTGTTGATACCCTACCCAAGAAAGTTGTTAAAGTACTCAATAGCAAGATGGCTTCTTTCTTTTGGGGCTCTTCTAGTGAGAAGAAAAAATTTCATTGGATCAATTGGAAGAATTTATGCCACCCTACTGATGAGGGAGGATTAGGAATCAGATCACTTACTGAAGTTGAAAAAGCTTTTTCTCTCAAGCTCTGGTGGAAATGGAGAACAGGTAATTCCATTTGGACTGATTTTATGAAAAATAGATATGACAGAACTGATATGGTACCTAAAATTGCTGATTCTTCTATTTGGAAGAGAATCTGTCATATCCATGACTATGCTTCCTCTTTGTGCTTACTTTCCTCCAATGACACCATCACCTGGAATGAGGAAACAAATGGTCAATTTTCTCTGAAATCTGCATACAATGGTGTGAGAAATACTTTATTACGTACTTTTTCCTTCAAACATCTTTGGTATCCAAGAAAGGAGCTTAAGATTATTCTTTTGCAATGGAAGATCCTCAAAGATATACTGCCTTTCCCTGAAAAGTTAAATCAATTTCATATCACTGCAAATCCTTCTATTTATCATCTATGCAGACATAACAGTGCATCATTGGACCATGTGTTCTATAAATGCAAAACTGTGAAACCTATCTGGGATTACTTCATGAATATACTAGGTATTCCTATACCTAAGACATTTTCATCTATTAGTCAGATTTTCAGAAATTTTTGGCTTAGTGCTGGTTGTTTAGATATGCTGGATCTTTTCAAACATAATATGTCAGGTATTATATCCTGGCATATTTGGAAGGTCTATTCGAATTTTCAATGGGGTAAGGGGAACGCCAATTCAACTTCTGAAGGAATCATTTCTGCTATTAAGCAATACACTCAGAACTGGACATATTCGCTGAAGGGGATCAAATTTCAACCAGTTGACAAAATTTTGTATGAAGAGCACCTAATCCAAAAGGAATTCAGTTGCAAAGACTATAATCTGTAGATTTTAAATGGTCTAAACCGAAAGGTTTGATGAAGCTAAACACTGATGCTCGTTACTTATCTGGCTCAGCTTCGGGGGGAGCAATTTTGAGAAATCGAACTGGACACTTTCTTCGTGCAGTTAGCTTTAATGTGGAGGCTTCCTCAGCACTTGAAGCGGAGTTGAAAACCATTTGTCGAGCTATAAGATGGGCGACCGGAGCAGGGTATATCGAATTTGAGGTGGAAACAGACTCGGCGATGGCGATTTGCATTCTCCCGGATCCTGATGCGAGAAGGTGGAAAGACCTTATTCAGGAAACTTTACAGACCTCGATTAGGAAAGGGCTTACCTTGCGACATGCATATAGGGAGGTTAACGGTGTTGCTCACTATCTGGCCCATCTCCATTCGGGCCCAATGCATGAATTTTCTAATACGGTTGATCTGCCCCAGATGGTTAGACGGGCTTACTATATGGATTTATTTGGCTTAGCCTCTTTTCGTTTTCATTAGTCTGTTTCATTTGCTCTGGTTTGTTTATTTTTTTGTGATGAGGTCTTGGCCTAGTCCCCCTCATTTTTGTATCTTTCTCCTTTTTAATAAAATTCTGGTATCTGACTCCCGGCATTTACCCCACTGATTTTGGTGGTTTGCCTTCCGGGATAATAAAAAAAGAAGAAGAAGAAATGTCTTCTCTGGTGAGGTATCGGTTTGACCCTCCTCATTTTTGTACCCTTCTATTGTTTGTAATAAAATTCGGTAAATGTTCCCTAACATTTACCCAACTAAATAGTGGTTTCCCATCAGGATTAAAAAAAAGAATATTCAAAGAAAACTTAAATATTATTAGTTTATTTTATCCAAAAGTTTATTAGATTATTAAATTATTTTTTCCCACTCAAACTTCATCATTTTCAACAATTATGCTTTTCTTTTTTGTTTTTCCATACTTACACATTTGTATTAATACCAATAAGCTATAAATAGTACAAGTTTCAAAATTACACATTTGTAAACTTAAAACTACAAAGAAGTGAAAACATAAGAAATATAAATATGATTTTCTTCTTAAGTATTACTAATTCATCTATTGAAAGTGTAATTATGAGAATAATTGAAGTTTGAGTCTTTCTTTTTAATAAAAGTGAAAATATGAGATAGTTTGTGAATTTCCTTCCCTAGCAGTCTAGGGTTTCCACCACTTTTTTGAAACTATTACGTTCTAGTGTACGAAATCTGATAGATAGTCTATACCGGGATACCATTACTGGTATCTAGAGAGAAGTCAGAGCAATCAGTAAGAGGGAGGAGTTGTGAAGAAAGATACTTGGGGATACCGACATTGGTTGGGAGGAGTAGGAAGAGTATCCTATCTTATTTGAGGCAGTGTGTAGTAAACCGAATTCAGAATTAGAATAATCGCTTTTTGTCAAGAGCGGGAAGAGAACTTCTTCTTAAATCAGTGATTCGAGTCCCCACTTTAAGGACTAACTCATGTTTCGGAACTCCTGATGCACGGATTTTATTGAGGAATTCAGGAGTGTGCAAGTCAGCCAAGAAATCAGAATTTGAGTCTGACTTGCAAATGCTATCAGAACTCAAATATGTCTTAGACTCTTCTTGAACATTGAGAGATGTCATGTATTCATTGATTTGATCCACAACATCAAGAGTTGGAGCTAGAATTGCATGCTCTAGCAAGTAGGACGAATCATTGGCAATATTCTGAAAATTAGGATATGTGATTTCCACAATAGTGGCAATTGGATCCTCTCCACACTGTAATAGAATGTCACTTGGAATTCTGACATCAGCAAATCCATCATTGACTTCGCCCGCAATACCATCTCCTAGATCTGCAATCCACTTCGCGAACTCTAGCAAATCATCATATTCACGATCGTCATTGAGTGATTGGAGCCGCATGTTCTTCGTCAAACGCAACACAATGCACTCATGCCAGATATATGAAGAATTAATTGTGGCATTCACTATGTCTTGTGTGGTACCCTTTGTAATTACGGGTAGAATTTGCCTAAAGTCTCCCCCGAACACCACCGTTTTCCCTCCAAATGATTTATCTCCGTTATATGAATTTGTAAATCTGAGGATGTCTCTCAAACTCCTGTCCAACGCTTCAAAACAATACTTGTGCATCATTGGTGCTTCGACCCATATAATGAGTTTGCACCGAATTATCAACTGTGTTAATGGACTCCCTTGTTTGATGTTGCATGTGGAGTTCTCAGTCGGATTGATTGGTATCGCAAACCGTGAATGAGCAGTCCTCCCACCGGGTAACAGTAAAGCTACAATGCCACTGGATGCAACATTTAGAACAATTCCCCCCTTTGACCTCCAAGCAGCAGACAATGTTTTCCAAACAAAGGTTTTTCCTATACCTCCATAACCATATCCAAAGAAAACCCCGCCTTTATTTTCATGAACTGATTCCATAATCTTTGTGTACACGTGACGTTGCTGATCATTCAGACTATCAATGCATTTCTCATGCTCTTGACATAACGCTGCACGATCATATTGTAGTTCGTCAAATATAAGCCTATTCTGAATCATGGATGATTGACTCATGTCAGGGAATGGCATTGATGGATAGTTCTTTAAGCTCCTGCCGTTCCTTTTCAACATTAGCTCTATTTCAACCAGTGCATAATTTTTAATCTCAGCCTCTGTCAACGTCAAATCTAAAACAAAGAATTCAAAACCACCATTAGCATAACAAAGATATGTATATTATTATTTAAAAGATTAAATATAATGAAAAGCGTAGTAGTATTTGTTTCTACCGGGATGGAGTAAAACTGTTCTCTGCCTGTGTAAAATGTCATCTGACATGAATGACCAACATTTTCCCCAAACGTACTCTGGTCTACTCATCGTATCTGCGATCAATAATATGACAAACAACTTTCTGAGCACCCATGATGAAACCCAAAAACTCCCCTCTGAAATTCCTTCAACATATTCTTTGTCATCATCTAACCATCCCATTGCGTAACATGCATCACGATATGTCTCATAACAAATCCCATCCACAGTTCTTAGATCATCGAAAGATATAGGCCCACGTTTCACATTTAGGACACAACGTAAATAATAAGATTCTCCTGAACCTGGAGGGACATAAGTTAGTCGACCTATAGCAAAACCCTTTTTCCAAGGGACAAATTCTCTTGTTGCAGCCTTCCAAACAAACTTTTGAGGAAATTCAGCATAGGTCATGTAACACCGAACCCGAATTTTACCCAGAGATTTTTTTTTTCATCAAGTACATGGTTAATGAAGGTAAATCAAGACTAGAGTAGCCTTGATAAATGAGAAAGATAAAATTTTTGTCTTAAATTAATAAAGGATTATTAATCAGACGCGGGACCCACATCGGGAGCTGGGACCACCCGTGGTATTCTTAGTGTATAAAAAAATTAATGTTGATCTAAACAATACTATTTTGATAGTAGGAATGGGTCATGGACCCCAGTGATATATAGAATGACAACTAGACGGCCACGTGGGTCGGGGCCACTAATCGATAATTGTGAGCCCTTAATTCTCGGACTATTAATAATTCGAAAGACTGTGAATTAATGACAGAAGAAATATAAATATTTTAAGAATCCAAAACAATTGGTTGATATATATATGATTAATTTGGTACATTAAAGGAGGGTACTTTTGGAGGACCCTACCTTAAAGATATTTTGGTTTGGGAACAAACAGATAAGATTTTGTCTGTTCATACATTTTGGACCACTTAAAAAGAAGTGTAACATTTTATTAAAATGTCAAAAAATATGAAACCACATATTGAGTCATGAGAAATGACGAATGAAATTACGAAACAACACGTTCCCATTTTTACTGTTATTTTAACAGTAAAATGCACGTTGAGCCCGCACCGAGAGCGGGGACCAACCGATATTTTCGGGACCACATATTATATTCATCTTGCTCTAGATGATATTTATATGATGGTGTAAATTAATGTTGAGCCCTAGAGTTGGTCTATTGAGCAAACGAAGTCCCATTACCAGTATTAGTTATTTAACAGATAACAGCCCGAAATATGTTCCGAGAACCACGAAATTAAAGTTGGATAATATATATTCATTCTAGGTGCCAATATTAATTAGAAGAATGATATATATTTTATTTGGCCCGATAAAATAAAATTTAATTAACACAACACGAAAAATACAACTTTCGGAGCCGAATGTACACTTTGGAACATATTGGGATGACCTCCCACATGAGTGGGGGCCACCCCACGTAATTATGCAATCAACCAGACAAGGGGATGGCTGTATAATTGGAGGAATGAGGTAGGGAGTTGGCTTGAAGTGATAGGCATCAATGAGAGACAATTGTGGACCATTTTCTTTATTATCATTGGTGGAATGAGTCAAAAGACATCTCTCTCCCCTCAATCACTCACTCGGCCAAAGCAACCAAAAAAGAGAGAAAAGCTCAGCAACTTACCTTTTACATAGCCAAGGAGTGAGCTCAATCAAGAAGGAAGTCCAAGGAAGAAGAAAAAGTGGAGAAAGTGAAGAAAACCTTTATTAATTAAGGTAATGATCTCATTAGTATTTTTCCTTCCTCCATTTAATCTCATATGATTTTATAAATCATATGATAGACCCATAAGCTTGTTCTACACTCCTAGAGATGTAGAATGAGGGTTTGGAAGGATAGTTTTAACCATGAACGGAGTTATGACCGGAGTAAGACCGGCTCGCCGGAAAATACCTTCTCAGAAGGTTTTGATGTTTATACCACATTTTATTTATGAAACCTTGTTAGGAATTTTACCAAGGTATTCTAGAATTCTCAAAGAATCTAGGAGTGGCCAGAAAAGTTGTCGGAGCCGCCGAAGTTTTCGCCGGAAAATTCCAAAAGGTCGCCGAAGTTCAAACGAGGAGGATAAAAGCTCGCTAACGTCATTTCAAGGTGAGTGGACGACTACGTGTCTTGTAACTCTTGGGTCAAACGTGGGATTACCTAAATAAAATCATAATCATGATTTGAGAAATGATTAAATGGATTAAAATGCATGATTAGTCATGGTGAATATAATATATGGAAATATTACATGATTAATGAATAAGAGATTTATTTGTGGATTAATCATGAATATATTATTGTCAAATGTATAAAAATGCATACATGGACTATGTATGATATAACTAGGGTAATCTAGTATGTGAATATGTATAGAAATGTTTAAAAGTGTTTAAACAAGTGATTAGCTATAATGATTATAAGTTATGTGAAAATGGCATGATTAATGAGTAAAAGAATTACTAATATTTTTATGAAGGATAATCATGAATGATTTAGTTGGACATTAACTAAGGTAATTCAAGATGGTATTCTTGAAGGATTCAAGTACTTAATCATACATGTCATTAAATTAAATCTAGTTATGAAGAATAAACTAGAACGAAATATATAAACGATTAATAAGTATGAAGTACTTATTAATAGTTGTGAGAAGATGGATTTATGCTTTATAAAGTTTGAGTGAGGCATGAGATTACCTAAGGTAATCAAGAATATATTTCATGGAATGATTAAAGATAATCAAGTATGTGTTATGCCATGATTATATGTAAAATATAGTTGAAAAGCATGTTAAGTAAGCTTGATGAGTTAAAATGTGATAATTAATTATGTATGATGTTCCAGGGATCCAAAATGGTATTTTTGGATCAAGGACGTCAAGAAGTACATGTGTATAAAATTTCACGTTAATCGGACTTCGTTTGGACGGTCAAACGGGCGTTGACCGCCAAGACAAAGGTGATACCCGACCGGGTATGGGTAAATACCCGACCGGGTATTGATTAAAAATGGCTCCAGAAGCCACTGCCACACTAGACCCGACCGGGTATGGGTATAGACCCGACTGGGTCTCAAGTAAAATTTGTTCCTGAGGCTACTGCCTCACCATACCCGACCGGGTATGGGTAAATACCCGACCAGGTATTGGGTTTTACACCCAATATGCAGTTTTTGAGTAAGTTTACGTGGGCCGTTCGAGTGGGACCCGTCCACGTTGGTTGCTAAGGCTTCGAATATGGTTTAAACGCTAAGACTTGGACTAGTCGTTAGTAAAGAAATTATAGACCACGACCGGGCGAGGTAAGTGGTAGATTATACATGACGGGTGAATACTCGGGACTGAGTAAGGTCAGGTAAAACTCTGTAGGACCGGGATGAGTCCTTTATACTCAAATGTTAACAAGGGCCCGTGTAGTCCTTGAGGTGTGTTAACCTCCAGCAAATTACACATAGGTAACAAGGGAAAATGCAGTCCTTGAGGTGTGTTAACCTCCATCAAATTGCATATACGTAACAAGGGCCCGTGTAGTCCTTGAGGTGTGTTAACCTCCAGCAAATTACACATAGGTAAAAACGGCAAATGCAGTCCTTGAGGTGTGTTAACCTCCATCAAATTGCATATACGTAACAATGGCCCGTGTAGTCCTTGAGGTGTGTTAACCTCCAGCAAATTACACATAGGTAACAAGGGCAAATGCAGTCCTTGAGGTGTGTTAACCTCCATCAAATTGCATATAGGTAACAAGGGCCCGTGTAGTCCTTGAGGTGTGTTAACCTCCAGCAAATTACACATATGTAACAAGGGCAAGTGCAATCCTTGAGGTGTGTTAACCTCCATCAAATTGCATATTGGTAACAAGGGCCCTTGTAGTCCTTGAGGTGTGTTAACCTCCAGCAAATTACACATAGGATAAGGGTGTATGCGTACTCCTCAAGGCGGGGTTAGCTCCGGGAATGTAAACTATGATTGTAAGGACGAATAGTCCCCGAGGTAGGTGAACCTCAAGTAATGATTTTAGATGATTAAACATGCGTGATCGGGAATGAGTTCCCGATAGGGTATTTTCCTTGGTCTAGGAATTTAATTTAAATCATGTCTGTGATATGGGAGCCCGAAGGGCCCCCGAAATAATTATCTTTGTTATCGGGTGAGTTAGCCTGCGGGTGACTTCACTCGAGGGTAGGACATGGGAAGGGTGAATTTAACGAATCGGTTACGCCTAAATGATTTGAAAGACAAATGGGCCCACGGGCCGGATATTTTACTCATATGTATATACGTATACGATATGTTTTGAAAAGGGGAAGCCAAGAGTTATGCCTATACGTATACTATCACCATATGTTGAGGGTCCCATGTGAGAAACGTTAGTTATATTACATACAGTTTGCTCTCACCAGTACTTTTCTGTAGTACTGATCCCTCGGGGGAACCACCCTTTCAGGTTGAAGCTAGAGCTTACTTCCTACACCCATTGTTCGGAAGATCGATGGAGAGAAGACGTGGTTCATGCTTCCTCTGGTTCTATTTCTAAATAATTAAATAATGCTCGTGGAACTATTTTTGACTTATAAATTAATGGAGCCTACGAGCTCTTGTTTTACCCTCGTGTGGATTCTTATTAAACACTTATATTCCGATATGTGTTTGATTGTATGTTGATGTTGTTATGTATGTTTACTAATCGGTTTTGGCATATGTATCTATCGGACGTCTTGTGCAATTTGGTAAGGATGAACTACGGTTATTCTTATTGGGTTGTACGACGGTTGTCTACGTGGCACAGACACGGTCTGGGGCGTGACAGGTCAAATCCGCTGCCTCATTTGGGTACTGCTGATTCGCCCTCATCCATGCCAAAAACATACTCTCCTTTACAGATTCACGTAACACAACATCAGTTACCGATGCATTATCTTCAAAGTAAACATATTGCTCGTCTGGAAAATGAAAGCTCAATCGTTCAACAGATGGATTCTTATACTGAATCTCGAACCCCAATATTCTCCACATTGCCTCACATGGAGAAATATACCTACAATCATAGTAGAGTTTTATTTCATCCACGGGTTTCTCATTGTCATCTGCATTTGAAGTTTCATAAAATCCGGCTGTTACACGATCATGTCCTTTGTTGACGTATTTGAACAAATATTTGATTGACCGGCCCTGATTACACCACTCAACATTAAGATGAGCCCCGTACTTCAAGAGTAAATACATGTTATGGGGAACAACATATCTGTTGTCAAGTTGTGTTACACCTTTCACAACAACTCTTCCATCATTCCGCCTTCTATACCTTGGATAACCTTCATCGTCAACGGTTGTCTGTTCATTGAAATTCTTGGGGAAGTGCTTTGAACACTTAGATTGTACCATGCATGGAGCACTTTTTGTTTCATTTCCACACGGCCCATGTATAATATGCGTGCGTACTGCATTGAAATATTCAGGATCATTTGACTCATCAGGTATTTCTGCAGAAATGATGCCATCAATGTCCACTGGAGTGGGAAACTTGTGTGCATTTCCCATGAATAACAAAATATGAGCGTGGGGAAGGCCACGCTTTTGGAATTCCACCGTGTATATCACTGCACATAAAAATATACATGCATCACTATAAATTTACTATACTATATATGACATTGAATTAAACAGGATAATGTTGTGACCTATGATATACCTGCTCTGACTTCACCAAATATCTTATTTTGACGTAGACCTTTAATCAATCCATCCAACTTCATCTTGAAAACTCGACATACTATATCTGGTCTGTCTTCAGGACTCAAGTTTCTCTCTTTGAGAAATCTGACAATTTCTGGCCACTTTGGATTGCATGTGAACGTCAAGAAAAGATCCGGATAGCCAGCCCAACGACATATTGCCATTGAATCTTGGTAATTTTGAACCATGTAACGTGCTCCTCCAACAAATGTAGGTGGTAAGACAACTCTCTTTCCTTGGGTAGAAGCATCTCTTTCGCCATTAAGCAAAGCATCAGAAAGCCCTTTGTACATTTCACACCGCAATTGTTTTTTATGTGTTCTGATGTACATTAGTCTTGAAGACTCAACCATTGTATATCCATCAACGACAAATTGTTGGAACAACCTTCTACTTTGGAGGATGAAAGTGCATTCCGTGCTCCGCTCATGCAGTCTATATGCCAAAAATTCCCTAATGCTAACACTTCGACGACCTTTGGTAGAATAACCATTACCATCACAAAAGCTAATATCCTCCCTATAACCATCTTCACCAAAGGGAAAGAGAAGTGGATATTGCAACCCCAAATATGCAGGATTCAATTCATTTATACGCTTCAAAAGCCCTCCCTGTGTTTCAACCATTATATCTCTTTCACCAAGAGATTCATCAAAATCCCCCACAACCAAAGCTGCTACCTCTGAAACCGTAGGTAGATTATAAGTTCTAGCATCTTTGTTTCTTCTACCTATCAACTTCAAACTCACTTTTGCCTCGCCACCTTGAACAATCTTGTCTCTAACCATCCTAAATGACTTCACCAAAACATTATGTTCATCAAGCATTCCTCTTAAAGTGGACACGATTTCTTCGTGCAAATTGTTCTTTTTGGCATCGTCTCTCACAGAACTCAAGCGGTTAAGATCCTCGTTTTGTGTGTCATATATATATAGCTGGGCAAACTTTGGGACACTTCCTTGTTGTGGTAACAGGGATCCTATTAGATGATAATTCTGACCACTAAGTTTAAAAGTTGGTGGTCCCCCATCCCTATTAACTAATTTATCTATCCTCCCATCCATCGATGTGAACGAAAACATACTATTATATGATCTAATATTATGTTGGAAGTGTTTACTCCTGGGATCTGTCCCTTTAATCAAACCATATAATTCAGGTGGGGGGTCCTTCAATTTCGGTAATACTATTTTTCCTTGCGTGCAACAAAGAGAGTACTTGGGGTTGGTTTTTGTAGAATTTCGAAGTGTCCTCTCATCAAACCAGAAAACTTCTCCACAGTGGGCACAATTATGTGATGGGTCCCCAATATCACAGTATTCAGCACCTACTGTGTCTACAAAGAGAAATTATGAACCAAACTTAGTGTGGATTAAAGTTAAAAAGGTCCATATTAATAATTAATATGATTATTTGATATTACATATTATATTTGAAATATTTCCATTAAAAATAATAGAATACAAAGTTTTGTATATAAATTCGACTACATCATTAAAAAACAAAAACCTCGAATTTAAAAATAATAGTAATAATAGTAATAACAATCGCACCTTCAACTTGTTGTGGTTCTGATGGAAGATTATCATGTAGATGTGTTGATACTTCGTCACACTTATGTTGGTTGTCCAGGAGACGCACATCTGGGCATTGGTTTACATTATCGATATTTGTTGTCCTCACACTCCAAGAACGTTTAAATGGCAAATGCAATACTGTAGAAGTAAATACAAATAGTACATAATCAATATCATAAAATATTTATGGGCTAATATAAATAGTAAAAAGTACGAATTACCATTTGTTCTATCAATGAAAACATCTGATGATCCACTGTGATGTTGCAAGGAACACTTGTGAACATTACAGTCAACATTTTCTGTCCACAAAGTCAATTAAATATAAACATGCCCTCGATTACATGATTCCAATACAATAAACTATTTCTATTACACGATTCCAATACAATAGACTATGTGTATGCCCTCAATTACTATTATTATTTTTAGGAACTCATTTTATGTTTGGAGTAACAATTTTGAATCTTATTTAAACAATATAAGCAAAACTTTTATTCACAAATCTTACTTTGGTAAGGGTCATTATCATATGAATTTTATGATTTTATTATTATCATTACCATAACCAATATACTTCATACAAATTATATTTTTAATCATTAAACAATAACTTCAGGCAATTATGACTCCAGTACAATAAACTATTTCTATTATCTTATTCCAATACAATACAGTATTTCCGGAAATGTGACTCACTTTCTTTTATCTGTATTACCAACTTTAGCAACTCGTTTTCTATTAGGAGTAATAATTTTGAATGTTATTTAAAAATATAAGTTATCCTTTTATTCACAAATCTTACTTTAATAAGGGCAATTATCATATGAATTTTATGATTTTTATTATTATCATTAGCATGATACATAATACAAATTATTTTGTTTAATCATTATAATAAGGGGAAAATAATTAAAATATCCCAAACATTTGAAGGGGTGTGAGATAAACATTCTGAACTTTCATATGTAATTTAAATATCCCAAACATTATATAAAAAGTCATTTTAACAACATGGTTATGTATTAATATCCCAAACTTTCAAAAATGTAAATTTTTGGTATTAAATGCATAATTTAAAATAGGAAATTGAAAACATTAGAATTATATATAGTGGTGGGTAATACTATTTATTTTACAATGCGAACTTAGAATGTTAATTGTATCTTTATGAATGCTAAAATATATCACATCAGGAAATAACTTTTTATATAAAGTTTGGGGTATTTAAAATACATATGCAAGTTTAGGGTGTTTACCTCACACCCCTTCAAAGTTTGGGGTATTTTAATATTTTCCCCTTATAAATACTTAACCCTTCTAAATACTTATATTTTTAATCATTAAACAATAACTTCAGGCAATTATGATTCCAGTACAATAAACTATTTCTATTGTCTTATTCCAATACAATACACTATTTCCGGAAATGTGACTCACTTGCTTTTATCTGTATTACCAACTTTAGCAACTCATTTTCTATTAGGAGTAATAATTTTGAATGTTATTTAAAAATATAAGTTATCCTTTTATTCACAAATCTTACTTTTATAAGGGTAATTATCATATGAATTTTATGATTTTTATTATTATCATTAGCATGATACATAATACAAATTATTTTGTTTAATCATTATAATATGGGGAAAATAATTAAAATATCCCAAACATTTGAAGGGGTGTGAGATAAACATTTTGAACTTTCATATGTAATTTAAATATCCCAAACATTATATAAAAAGTCATTTTAACAACATGGTTATGTATTAATATCCCAAACTTTCAAAAATGTAAATTTTTGGTATTAAATGCATAATTTAAAACAGGAAATTGAAAACATTAGAATTATATATAGTGGTGGGTAATACTATTTAGTTTACAATGCAAACTTAGAATGTTAATTGTATTTTTATGAATGCTAAAATATATCACATCAGGAAATAACTTTTTATATAAAGTTTGGGGTATTTAAAATACATATGCAAGTTTAGGGTGTTTACCTCACACCCCTTCAAAGTTTGGGGTATTTTAATATTTTCCCCTTATAAATACTTAACCCTTGTAAATACTTATTTCCAACCTATTTGAACCTATGTATGAAATTTAATAAAATAGATGAGACATTACTTAGCTTAGAAAACAATCTACCATTATTTTGGCCCATTTGAGCCAAACATAGAAAAGAATATTGCATAATTTAGCCCCAGCCCAACTAATTCTATATATACCCAATATTCTGCCCAGCCCATTATTCCCCAACCCTATGTTTTTATTAATCCGGCCACAGCCCAACCCATTCTTCCCCACCTCAAACCCTAACATTATATAACCCTCTTCATTTCTCTTATTCTATCCGGACACCTCAAATAT